TAGATTAATTACTCCTACCCTAGTCAATACATGTTGTGTATTGACCCCTGGCTATGGTCCTAGCCTGCCCTTATTTCTGTGCTTGCTTTTAAGATGTGTGATTCATGAAATTCACATCTACAAACATGCCCAGCTCAGTGAGACATCTCCTGATGAGAGAGAATGAGTGAAATAACCTTCAAAGGAATGATGCTTGCAATAAAACCAGCTGATAAGTCAGTAGATCCTTAGGGTTTTTCCTTGGGGGTTGTAGTGAATCAGCTTTTGTCTTCAAGAAAAAAAAACAACTGGCTTCCTCATCTGCCTTGATGTATTTGAAAGAGAGAGGGAAAGCATAACTTTTGTCAGGTGCCTGTTTTAACTAAGGAAAACACATTGTCTTCAAGTACACAGACTTTTGAGGCTGGACAATCAACCCAAATCTTGATTTTAAAAAGGAGCCAGCAATAATATACATTACATTATTATCTGCAGCCTAAAAATTGTCCCAACCTCCATCTCACCCCTGGTACTGCAGAACTGGTTTATTTTCATCTGCTGGTCTAAGCCCTGGGGTTTGCCTGCATAATTTTGCTAAGTTAAATGAACTGTGCTCCAGCTATAAAAACACTCCACATGGCTTTCAACACACAAAATTGAATCTGCCCTGCTTTGGTGTTGGTGGCTATGTCATTTATTTATCAACGAGACAAATTTTCTCTTCATTTCCTTGTTTTCAGTGTTTTGGCTGGGAAATTGAGGTACTTTCAGACATCATAATAAAGACACAGTAAGAGTGGACAGAAGGAATCCTTCTGCTAAATATGGAACCCATTATGCTTCCAAAAATAGCAGCTAATTTTAGAGACTGCATGGGTTAAATGTTTTGTTGTTGTTTTGGTTTTTTTGGGGGGGTTTTGTTTTTGTTGGGGTTTTTTTTTTCTTTTTAGAGGAAGCTTTTATGGAAGGGTCTTATCCTTTTCTCTTTGGCACTATGAAGGAGTCAGAATGTTTCAGCTACATTGACTATCATGCTGGAAGTCAGGACTGGAGCACAAGTCCTTTTCCTTGGCCTCTTGAAAGCTTCTGTCAGTTTTGAGGTTGAATCCATTAAAGAGCTCATCAGAACCTGAGCTCCATTGTACAGTTTTTCTCCAAATGCTTGGTGGGGTCAGAGGAAGTTGCTAGAACTTCTCGCTCTTCCTCAGCGACCAGCACCTTTCTTTGCGTGTCGTCTTCTGTGTTTCCTGCTCTATTGCCCAGCTTTTGTGTAGACTGACTGGCAAACAGTGTGGTTCACAACCCAAGTTCTTACAATGAGATTAAAAACAGAGTTGACAGTGACGTAGACCAGTGTGCTTTTCACATATGAGAAACTGAACTTTCACATTCTTATGTGGATAGGAAGTAGAGGATTATTAAGTAGTATTTCCAGTACATGCACCCAAAATTTCAATAGTTTGGTAGCCGTCTCTTTCTGACCAAGGAGACTGGTGGTGAACAAGTGTCTCAGCACTCATTATGTCAGAGAGGTGACTTGGATAACAAAGTGTCATTCCTGCACATTCCAAGTGATTGCACTTACTGTATGCAAACTGATGCCATTCAGGTGAAGTAGTGTTTTGGGCACTGCTTTCTTCTGCAGGTCTCAACAGAAAACATAAAACTTCATTATTTTTTTTTTATTTTTTTTTTTATTTTTTTTTGAAAGGTGATTTTGGAATATTGCAAGACAACGTAAGTGTTTTTGGATTTTTATAGCAAATGAGGTCCTTATTAAACTTTTTTTTTTCCACATTCATTCCAACAATTTTTTTTCACTTTTCATTCCAACAATGCACACTCACACAGTACACACTCAGTCATGCAAAATTTATTTTGAAACTGGACAGAGAAATTGTGGAGTCATGTCTCCCAGAGAAAATGACTGCTATTTGAAATCATACTTTTGTACCTTACTGTATTTTTATTTTTTTTTAATAAATATCCTGGAATGATAGAAGAACACTTTAACTAGAGCAATTGCAAACTGCCATGTTTTAACATCTTTGTACCCTTTACTTTTCACTAGCATTCCTGAACTAAATGAGTATTTATTTGGTATATGATTATGGGAAATGAGAATAAGGGCATTTTGTTGATTACTCTGGCACCTTTTTGCTTTCTTTATGAATTTATCATCACAAATTCTTTAACATACCAAATACGTGACTTTGGATTTCACTTATTGGACTGTTCTGATTAGGACATTTTTCCTTAAATGTATGGGGTTTTTAATAATACAGTTTTTCTAGTAAAGCACCCTTTGATAAAGATGGTATCTGTATGATGGCAATGGACTTTGAGATGAACCAAATAAATAGATATGTTGTTAATAGAATAGACTCAATACAAATAAAGATATCCGACCCATCTTTCAAATGTGCAGTAGTATCAATACGGCATATATAGCATAGTCCAAGGCAAACTTAAGGCAGATTTCCATATAGAAATGCCCTTGTGTAACTTGGATAATTAAATTTTCTGCAGTATTCACAGAATCAGAGAATATTAGGAGTTGGAAGGGACCTCCAAAAATCATCAAATCCAAACCTCCTGCCAGAGCAGGACCAAAAAAACCACCTACAGCAGATCACTCAGAAAGGCATCCAGGCAGGTTTTGAAAGTTTCCACAGAACAGGACTCCACAACCTCTCTGGGCAGCCTGTCCCAGTGCTCTGTAACCCTCACAGTAAGGAAGTTCTTCCTCATGTTGAGGTGGAACTTCCTGTGCTCAGGTTTGAATACATTGCTTCTCATCCTATTACAGGACACAAATGAAAATGCCTTCTTGATGCCCAGCCCTCAGGTATTTATAGACATTAATTAGATTCCCCCTCAGTCTTCTCCTCTCTAGACTGAAAAGCCCAAGGTCTCTCAGCCTTTCCTTATAAGGCAGGTGTTACAGTCCCTTCATCATCCTCGTAGCCTCCGTTGGACTCCCTCAAGTAGATCCCTGTCCCTCTTGAACTGGACATAGTACTCCAAGTGAGGTTTAACCAGAGTCATAAGTGAAAGTAATTGATTTAACCCTGCATTTTGAAGCTCTTTAGCAAAACATATCTTCAATTTAAAGGAGCACAAATTACAGCTCGGATGAACAAACACTCCTAACTTTAATTATGTTATACAGAAGCTCCATTTGGAGCAGTGATCCAGATCAGTCAATGGAGAAATTGCTTTGCTATTAATCTTGCACTGTTTACCCATTTTTCTGTTTATTCAGTAAGTTTCTTCCAGCAGGAACATTGCAGGATTATTTGACATCATTTAGTTTTTGATCCATCATATTTGTTTCTAGAAACCATTGAAATGCATTCTTTTTCTTACTCATCTCCTTTTCTTGTTTAACTGGACTGACATCTGCTATTTAATTGCAATAATTTTAACTACTGATTTTCCCATATGTCGTGGCTGCTGTGTGAGAGGATAAGTGCATAGTCCTCAGAACACAGGGGGCTACTGCTGCATTTTTTCATGATACTGCTGTCAGGACAGTATGGTGGGATAACTGCATCCATCATTCTGTATTGGCCATGATACCAGATCTGCCCCTTGATACAGAAAAAGCTGCAGAAATGTTTAATTTAAAAGTGCATTATTCATGTGCTTTGAAAAACTGAATGAAACATTCTGGTACTTCTGTGGTTGAATAATTCTTTGTTTTCCTTATCTTTCCCTCTCCAACAGACATGCTCTGTCCCTTTACCTCTAAGTTAGAAACTCCCTACAACATGTATAAAGAAAGTTACACTGTGGAACTGGTATTACAGCTGTAATAACAAATCAGAGTTTCTGCCTAGGAGGAAAAAGAAAATTGGCACATTGCCTCCTTTCACACTTGCATTCCTGAGACAAGCTTAATATTGATGTGAATGAAACTGCTTGGGGTGATGTAGTTTCTGTCTGCTTTTTGCTAGGTTTCTTTGAGACAACAGCAGAGGTGTAAGGGAGACTGCATGTCCAATGTGAATAAGCAATGCTTTGATGCAACACTAACAGTTCTGTTCTGGCCTACTGTAGTTGAGGAGGAGGTTTACTGTCTTGTTGCAAATATTTTTAATTCACACTGTTTTCTATGTCTCACATGTTGGGTTTAGGTCTCATCAGTTCTATCTGAAATTTAAGCAAAAACTAGCAAGGAGTCTGTTTACTCTATCATTTCCAGGACGTGAACATTAAAGCCTTGATTTTGTTTATGGTGTTTGAGTGAATGGAGCAACAAAATCCATTTTGTAATGGTGATTTAGCTTGGAAATAAAATATTAGATGTGCTATTTGTTTAATTTTGGTTTCCAACTGAACGGTTATTATTTGCAAATTGTTGATCTGTGGAAGCTAAACTACACTACCAGCATCCTAGACTTAATTCAGCTTTTCCCACAAAAAGGTCTTTGTTCATGTGTAATATGTCTAGTGCATTCCCTCACCCTTTTTACCTATGGGTCAAGATGAAGACTCATGGAAATATGACATTAAGAAACTGCTGTGGAGCAGCCAGTGAAGAACACTTGCTTTTTTTGTGTGTCTCATGTGACATTCTAGTGATGACTGATAAGGTCAGGTAAGAGGCTTGCAGATGTAAAAGATTTGTTTTACTGAGAAAGTAAATTCTGTTGAACTGGATTTAATTAGAGGGGTTGAGTTGCAAAGTCTACTTCAGCAGAAGTCACAGAGGAGCTTCAAGGCCCCTGTTACCTCTTCCTGCAGAGGGCAGATTTTTCCAACCGCTGTGTACTTTGTGGCATAAAGTTTGCATATATATGTTCATGCTTTGTGATAGGTTATTTTCATATTCAAACCTGGGACTTTTGATTTTCCAACAATCTTGATTTTTTTTAAGGAAAAAATTATTCAAAGAATTTTTGGAAAAAAAACTCAACCCTTGCAACCTTGCAAGACACTGACTGTAGGAGGGGAGCTAAGCTGACTTGATGGTGGACTGTGATACTCAGCCTTCATTATCTGTTTCCTTCCTCTAGATGAAGTGGTTCATGTCTCAGTCCCTGAGAAGCTGACCTTTGAGGAAGCCAAGGAGCTGTGTCGGAAAAGAGATGGCGTTCTTGCTTCAGTTGGGAACCTGTACGTGGCCTGGAGGAATGGCTTTGACCAGTGTGACTATGGCTGGCTGGCGGATGGCAGCGTTCGTTACCCAGCCTCGGTGGCAAGGCCCCAGTGTGGTGGAGGTTTACTTGGGGTGAGAACCCTGTATCGCTATGAGAACCAAACAGGCTTTCCTTACCCAGATAGCAAGTTTGATGCCTACTGCTATGAACGTAAGCTTTTTTTAGTTATAATTTTCAGTATACTCACCATGCTAACCTTGAAAAATGTTTTCTTTGATATGTGTCTTGTTTCAGTTCTTGTGGCGTTGCATGAGTTTAAAAAAAAAATTGTTTTATCACTATGATTTTACAAAAATAAAAGAAAAGCCAAACTACAATGAACGCCCTAAAGTCACATTGGCAGATAGAGATAGGCAAAATTCTAAGGTAAGATTTCATCCTGAGTGGTGTTTTTACGTAGATTGACATGCTGTACCCACAGTCACCCTGTCTGTGGATGCTACATATTTTGGTGCCCAACTGCACCCTGGTATCTTTGTGTCATGACCATAAGAATAGAAGAAATTTCCTACTTGACCAGGTGAATGACTGTCATCTAGCTTGTTATTGTGTCTCCAATTATGGCAAGGAGAGGCTGTCTACAGGCTGCATGCAAGGGGATTTTTCTGGATTCCAGGCATTTTGTTCCATTAAAATTTTGGGGCTTTCCTTTGCCTTGATGATTCCTCTGTAATCTCTTCCATCTACAGTGCCAGTAGCTTGGCTCTGGCATTATGGTGCAGCCTATCCTTGCATAGGTTTCTTTTGTCCAAAAGTATTCACCAGCTTCTAGTGTATCTGAGTTTCTCTTCCCTATATTATCTCACCTGTGCACCAGTTCTAGATCCCTGCCTGTCTCCCAGGCCTTTCTGGAACTTGCATTGCTTCATAGACCACCATCATGGAGGTCCTGGTCTCATTTACCTGGCCACTTATATTTCTCTCTATCATTAGTGATGGCTGCTCACTCTTTTCCTACATCTTCAGAAACTCATCCATGCATCCTGTGACATGCAACATGTAAGTTTCTGTGTAGCCCTTTCGGATGCCATAGACCATCTATCTGTATCTGTTAGGAGAGGATTCCATCACCTTACTTCTATCCTTAAAGATCTGCTCCATCATAGGGGTCTTCGTTGTGCATGAGGACACATAGTTTTGGAAGGTGTATCACATTTAAAAGATCAGAGTGCTTCTTCCCAGCTGAATATCCCTGAGATCTGCAGCCTCCTCAGCAGCGTAGAGAGGTTGGACTGCTCATTAATTTTCCTGCAGGCCTCTCTGTTCAAGGAAGTTCCTGTGGTTGCAAATAGTACAATTGACACTAATGTGTAAGGGCTACTTGTGTTGAGTTACAAGTTCAGACCTTGGTCTTTAACTATGAGTATCTAGGTTTTTTGGACTCAGTTCTGTGACTGTAAGTCAGAACTGCTTGAAATGTGCAGCCTGTACTGTCCCTGTTTTTGTGGATGATGAACAAACTGCAGCTGCAGATCTTTCCAGCTCACGCATTGAAGGCTCATTTATGAACAAAACTTACTGCCTGAGAGCAAACCACAACATCTGGTGTTACACTACAATCTGGCTGTTCTCAGACAGCCTCTCCTATGCAATATTTTAAAATAGGATTATTTTGGATTTTTTCTTTATTTCTTATGGGTAAGATGTTCCAAAACTTTGCATGTGGAAGCAGTCCTAATGGACTTCAAGGGAACTGCATACAGGAACAAAAACTAGCTAAAGTCAGGAGTGTGTGCAGACCAGAGTTTTGTCATGTCACTCCTCCTGTTCCTTCCTTAAATTGTTTATGATCAGTTTTTAAATTGTTGTGGGTAAAATTGACTTTAAATTCACCAGTCTCTCTGAAAGACTGAAGTAGACACTGGACGTTTTGTCTGTTATCTAGTTTTTAGTAAGGACAAATTCCAGCTTTCTATTTGTCTGAACTTCACCGCTTTCAAACAACATGTGCCTTTTCAATGCTCTTTTCAATGCTCTTCCTAGGAACTTTAGTTAACAAATTCTAGTGACATACTATTTGTTCTAAAAACATCCTTGATAATTATTGGATTGCTCTGTACAACTGCTTTTTCTGCAAATTCTTGTGCTTGATACATGGGGAATAAATATTTCATCCATTTCCAACACTGGAAGTACGTCTGTCTATGACTATCAACTCTTTTTACAAGAAAAGACTACACAGAAGCAACATAATTTGGTAGCCAGTGGGCTGCTCTCTAGCAATTTTAATTGCAGTTGACATTACATCAGAATTAATTAAATGCTACTAGCTAGATGACTCAGGTTTTGCCAGATAAGTCTGATTTTGTGAAGGGAAATGCAGGAGTGTACTGCTGAACTACATACCCTCCTTCAGGGTGGCTGTCTGCCACACATTTCAGAAGTTCCTGAAAGTTCTCTCTCCCTCTCAGAAGGTGCTTGGGATCTCACAGGAACCAGCTGTAACTCTTCATTGCTTTTGCTAAAAGATTTATCTAAGTGGTCACTAATGGGACTCTCTGCCCAGCATCTTGGTCTTTCAGATCTCAATTAGCGGCCTGAAGCAGCAGCTGTAAAGTGAGTCACTGTGTCCTCTTAGAGCCTTGGAGCGAGCCCCTTTTTTGGGTCAGAAAAAGGGAGATAAAGGAGAAAAAAGAAAAAAGGCTCTACAATATGGCAGGAGGCTTCAATTTAGGTCCTTGTTTCAAATAATCTTTTGTCTGCATGTTTTTCCAAAACTTTCTCTTGTCTCGGTTTCAGAAGTTTCACTGCAATAGCCCATCACTGAAGTCTAATATCCTCCAGTTCCGACTGCTTTTACTGTTCTCATTATGTGTTTCACATTACACTGTTATGTTCCATCCTTCCCTGAATACCCAATCACACCAGTAACTTTTCTTACTGATAGAGAAAAAAAACAAACCCCGATGTTATGTGCATTTATGAGGTATTGGTCAGCTAGAAGGAAAAATACAGAGTACCTCTGTGAATAGGCCATGATCTAGCCAGCTATCCAGGTAACACCAGTGCCGAAGGTCTGCAGCACAGATGTTCAAGCAGTGATCTCAGTTTTTTTACTGCATCCCCATAAAGTTTCCTCTGCCTCCTGTGTGAAAGCTAGTGAAGTTCCCATTGACTCAGCTCCAAGGGTATTGACCACATGTTGCACGCTTAGTTGTAAGTGCAACAGCAAAGATGAAGGAACTGCCTCTGCCACTTTTATTCATGCTCAGTAATACTATATTCCTTGAGTAAGGCCACTAAAATAAATGCCTCCCAGCCACAGAAGTGTCCAATGCTTGAATTTACACATACTCTGAGGCAATATATTTGTGGTAAAAGCAGGCATCTGTTTTAGTTGTTACAAGGACAAATCACATGCTTAGGAATGGGGTATCTCTTTCTTCAGCCCTGCCTACAGTCTTCACTTGTATCCTGTGATTAAAAGTCTCTTTGGGGGAAAATCTCAAAATATTCATTTTAAATTGCAGCTAAACGCAATCTCAATCCATATTTTAATACTTTACTTACTTTTAGAATGAAATATTATGTATTAAAAAATAAATGAAAAACAGTAAGCAAAGCACACACAGCTAGCCTGGATAACATTTAACAGTACAATTAATTTCATGATTTTAACTTCAGCAGTGTTCTGGTTACAAAACCACATTATACAAAGTGTCTTGACTTTAAGAAAATAAACATGGCCCAGACTAATAATATATGGTTTAAAATCTAAAATCCTTGTTAAAAAAATAGAAAGGCTTCCTCACTTTGATCACACGTGTTTTCCACTCTACAAAAACCACATGGCTCTAACTTTCTGAAACTTCATCCGCATGTTTCATCTCATCTCTCCAATACTTTTGCCAGTTTGGGGGCTTTTTCGGGTTTTTTGATTGTTTTGGTGTTTTTTTTTCCTGAGAAGTACCTAATGATGTAACTGATGGAGCTTGGTTAAGACACATGATTAAGTACTTGAAGATCCTTCATGGCCATCATCAGAGGAAAAGTTTTTAAAGTGTTAATTTAAAGGACTGGGTAACATATTTACAAATTTTTTAGAAAAAAAAGGTAGAACAACTGTTACTGAACACTTATGTTTATTTGTTAGAGAATAAAACATTGTGTCAGGAAAAAAACAAACCACAAAACTTATTTAATAGCTCTTGCATACACCTAACAAGTATTTATTTAATTCTATCCCTCTGCCCCCCAGTTTTGCTGGATCTGATTCACTGAATTTAGTGGGAGTCTTGCCACAGCCTTCAACTGACTTTGAAGCATTTTATACTAAGCATCTATAGAATAAATTCCACTCCAGAAATGCACTAATTAAAATGTGTACAATTTTTGGTTTACATACCTGCAACAATACTAAACCTGATTAACTTCATACACAGAGGTGACTGATTTGCGTTTCGCTGTTAAAAGCTGATTTATAAAAACTGAATTCATCCATGACCTGTATTGATTTTGGCAAATCTTTCAGCAAAGCATTTTTTGCTTGACTCAAAACACGTGTTGACCATTTTGCTCTGGATTTGACCATTTTGTTTCAGATTTGCTCTTTCATTTTGACTTTGTTTCGTGCACCTTTGCTTTTTCTCTTTGGTTATGCCACTTTGGTTTGGCATTATAGTTTCATTTTAGCTGGAGATTGGAAAATTCCAGTTCTGAGACAGAGTTGCTGTGTGTGTTCATTATGAATAGAGGCCGTATTTTGATTGTTCCAATACAGCCCCTTCAGGAGTGTATCCAAGTAAACCGCTGCTTGTGACTGAGGCCTCTTTCTTTGATGCTTCATCCATCTAAAGCTCAAAATCAGAGCATGCTTTTATGGAAGAAATATAGGAAGCAGCAATGTTCATAGTATGTAGTAAGATGAAAGTGGAGAATAATTTTGTCTCTGCAAACCTCTCTCCTGCTCAGCCCAAAATGTCTCCAAACAAACTCTCAGTTTCTTGTCAGTTCAAGTAAGAGTGTTTCACCAGGATGCAGGTTTTTGGCAAGGTCGAGTGTCTTGCAAGCAGTGTTCTTCTGTGGGGGCTTCACGGCAGGAAAAGAAGAACAGCCCCTTCTTTGGGAGGTCCTACAGCATGAGCCACCACGATTGCTGTCTAAGGCTCAGAAAACATCAGCTGTGCTCCACTTGTCCTGAAGCAGAAAGG